GATGTGGATGAAAATTTACAGAACTGATTGATTTTCCGTTCAACATTTCATGCACATTTGGTTTCGTGACATTCACGACGCAGCAGAACTCATTACACTTTCTCCCTTTTTCCTTCAGTCTTCTTTGCTATCCCTTCTTGCTTTCTGAGCTTTATTCCTGGGCAAGTGCTGCCCTTTGTGGTTGATTATTCTCAGGAGTGTGTATTTCCCTGGTGCTACTGCTCACCTTATAAGCCTGACTATTCCTTGGCTGACAGTTGACCCACAGGGGTAAGTTCAGTTCCAGGCTTGAAGGGTATCTAGGGTCCATCATCTCAAGGATTCCACCAGTCTGTATCAGACCAGTAAGTCTAGTCTTTCTAATGATTTTGAGTTTTGTTCCATGTTTTTCTCCCACTCTATCCAGGACCGCCTATTACGATTCCTTTCAGAGCTGTTGTCCGCAGTGGTAGCTGGGCACCATCTAGTTCTGGTCTCAGGGTCATGGAGGCTGGGGTTTGCTCTTGCAACTATTTTCATACATCTTTGATCTTCTTCACTCCTTTTTGCTGCAGATGGGAAGAGGTCAATAGATGCACCTTGACTGGCCCCTGACAAGCTTTTAAGACCCCAGTCCCTACTCACCAGAGTAGGATGTAGAACATTGTCTTTGTGGATTGTGTTGTGCCGGTTGACTTTGTTGTCCCCTAAGGCTGTGTTCTGAGCCCCCAGGCCCAGCCATTCATTTGCTCAAGGTGTTTGGTTATGACTTAGAAGTTTTTAAAACTTTGCACCCCTATGTTCTACTGTAGTCTTTGGCTTTCTTCATTTTGTTTTGTTCTCTTTTCATATTATTCCTCTAACAGATGAGTAGTAAGAGATTTGCCTTAAATTTCACTAATCCTGCCTTCCATTGATTCAGTTCTGCTCGTCACCCTTCCAATGCACTATCTATTTCTAAAATTTGGGTTTGGTGTTTTAGATTTACATTTACTGTTTTTGCATGTTTTCTAGGTTTCCCTGGATTTTTGCCAATTGGTTCTTACATTGTTTTCCTGAAACAATACAATTCTCTAGATTTTTTGTGTGTTTTCCTTGATTTCATCTCTGATTTCCTTGTTCTTGTCTGTGTTTTCCTTGATCTCTTTCTTAATCTGTTGAAGGGTCCTAAGTAAAATCCTTTTGAATTCCTTATCATGTAGTCCCAATGCCATTTTTCTCTCTGGGAGATGTTCTAGCCCTGTATTTTGGTCAGTTGCTTGAGCCTTATTGTCCTTTGTTGTGTGTGGGATTTGAAGCTGTCTGTTGTCTCTGATATTGTGGATTGTTGTATTAATCTGTTGATTGCATGTTGATTTGCCTTACCTAGATTTTTGTTTTGTTTTAATATATCTGGGCAGTGAGGTGAGTGTGCTTCTCTGGTGACTAGCTGGCAGCACGGGGTGCTCACCACCTGTCTCTGGGTGAACTTGGTCGTGTTTGGGAGTGTGGGCTTGAGTGTCCAATTGCTGGTCGTGTGGAGTAGCTGAGGGCAGGGTGGGCAGGTGTTGGCTGCTGTTGGTCATCAGTCCAGTGGTGGTGGAGTGGCTGGTGGCACTCACTCAGTGGAAGGGGCAGCAGGTGTGGTGCCTATGGCTGGGTCGGGTCACTGGCTTATGACTCATGGGGAAAATGAAGAGGGGGAGGAAGAGGAGGAAAACAACAAGGGACGGGGAAAAGAACGGGAAGAACTAAGTAGAAAGAATAAAGGAAAATGAAAAGCAGCACAGTTCTGGTGCAAGTGCTGGCCCCCAGACTCGGCTGCAGCGGGAACACAGCACTCACCCTGCAGAAGCTCGCACCAACCACTGCAGAGGGTGTGGGTGGGCGCTGTCGACCACAGAGGTGGGGGCAGGGTGCTCACTCCACAGGATCATAGAAAAGGGGGGAGGAGGAGGAAGAAAAGGAAAGGAAGGGCAAAAACGGGGAGGCAGGAAGAGGGAAAAAGAAAGGAATGAGTGAGTGAGGGAGGGAGGGAGAGAGGAGGAGGGAGGGAGGGAGGGAGGGAGAGAAGGAGCACAGTACTGGTGCCAAACGCAGCTGTGGCGGGAGAATGTGGCGGGAGAATGTGGCGCTCACATTGTGGTGAGAATGTGGCGCTCACGCTGTGGGAGGCCACACCACAGCCTGCAGAGGGGCAGAGGCAGGGCGTCCACTCCACAGAGTCAAATAGAAAGTGGAGAGGAGAAGAAGAAAAAAGAAAAGAAGAGGGAAGAAATAAGAAGAAAGAAAGTGGCACACACTGGCAGTGGGGGGTGTCTCACTGTGTTGGGGGTGGGGGTGGGGAGGCTTCCCCTCTGGTCACAAGGAGGTTGTGCTGGGTAAGGGGGAGATCACATCTCTTTGGTCACTGATCACCCATGTGGGTGCTGGTGCAGTCCTGGGTGAGCAGAGCTAGTTATCTGGTTCCTGCCCTGATTGGAATGCTGCTTGCAAAAATTCAAAGTGGCTGCACCATCCCAGACCAGTGGGCAAATCATGGCTCTGTTTGCCTCCTTGTTTGCTATTTTCATTCAGTTGCTTCCTCTAATTGGTGTTTAATCTCCTTCTTTATTCTTTCCTTTGAAGCTTTGGGCCCCAAGGTTGTCATTTGTGTCCATTTCACTTGGTTTCTTGGGTCTTTGTTGTAAATCTGCATAGTCTATCATCTGAAATCGACATTGGCTTATTTTCATTGCTTAATTTTGGTAGAAATATTTGTACAGGACAAAGTTTCTCTCCTTTTAGGAGAAGCGACAATGCAAGTGCCATGATAAGCGGTGACATATTTAACTGCACTGTCATGGCAGCCCCAGGGACTGGCCAGCTCCTATTCTTCTAAAAGGGGGGCTGTAACTCAGACCAGATTCTCTCCTTCCTTCAAATCAGCAAAAAATTTAGATTTTTGTGAATCCAGTTTATGGGTTGCCCTTGACAGCTTCTGCCATGGTGAGAGGGAGGCCTTTAGTATCAAGAAGAGAAGCCCAGGGCCTTGGAAGGGAGAGAGAATTCTTTCTGGGCTGATGCAGAGGCTCACATAGGGCCAGCAGGTTGGAGTCCAGAAGGTGTTCAGCTGCTCTGAGGAAGGATTGACATTTAGTGTGATGCACAGATGGTGAGCTCTCCGTCCCTCGGGGTACGGAAGCCAGAGCTGGCTGGTTGATAGGGAGGTGAATGGGATTCAGAGGAAGGAAGGAAGGGTGCTGATTTGGATGACTCTGAGACCATAATCGTGTTGACCCCGTAATCTTCCTTCAAGATCATATTCTCAGGACCAAGTGCTAACTATTCATTCATCCATCCATTGAATATTTAATGAGGACCTACTATGTGTCCGCACTGTAGGGGTATAAGGAGAAAGCAGGGACCAGACAGACCTCTCTTGAGGTCCCACCCTGGTCATTCCTGATCCCGTCTTATCCTGTTCAGGGACCACCCCTCTCCAGGGACTGGGAGGAGCTTGGGTGGATGGGGTAGTGTCATGGGGACATCAGTGACCTCTCTGGAGAGGCCTCAGCTCCTCACTCCACATGGAAGAAGTGAAAGCCTGCAGTTTCCTTCCTGGGACGAGGCCAGTGGGGCTGGCCTGGGGCTGGACTCCTGAATCCGTTTCCTCTGAGAGTGTTTCTGGGGGAGGTGGGGGTAGAGGGCTGTGAGTACCTGTGAGTGTGTATGGGGGAGTGTGTGGGTGTGAGTGTGTGTGTCTGATCGAGGGCGCATGCGAGTTCCCTGTGTCTCCTTCCTTCTCCACACCTGGCCAGGCCTGTTCCTGCTCAGACCTCCCGGGGCCCTCACCTCCTCAGTTCAAGCCCAAACGTCTCACTGTGGCAGCCATCCTCCCTACCTTGCCCTGCTGTGCAGTGACTGGCCCTGCCAACTCCCAGAACCCTCTCCCCGCTCTCCTCACACAAGGCAGCTCTGCCCCCTGGTGGCTGACCGCTGGCAGCTCTGACAGCTCCAGGCGCTGCACTGTATATGCCCCCTGCCTCTCCCTACCCGTCTCCCCCTGCCTCTCCCTACTCGTCTCCCCCTGCCTCTCCCTACACGTCTCCTCCTGCCTCTCCCTACACGCTCTGGCTCTTCCCTCGGTGTTTGCTCTGGCTCTTCCCTCTGCCTTCCTGAGCCTTGCTCCTCATCCTTCAGGTTTCTGCTTCGATGTGAGCCCCTCCCCTGCCTCTCTC